AGGTGCCGCGGTGGGAGCGCGCTACGCGGACGATTATAAAGCCGGGAAATCGTTCTATAAATTATAATGGTGAAAACGCGGCGATATGACAGAGCGCAATTAGGGGGATCGAAGGAATTATCCGCGTCGCCTCATATCATGAGAAAATATTTAATCCGGCCGGCCAAGAGCGCGAAGATTTTATGGCAGAAATTCCTTTCAGGGGAATGTTCCGGAACCGGAAAAAAAAATACATTTTGTTCCAAAAGACACTTCGATGAGGTCACCAACCCCCTATGATGTCACGCGGTGAGGTCACCAACCCCCTATGAAGTTACACGATGAGGTCACCAACCCCCTATGATGTCACACGACGAGGTCACCAACCCCTCTGATGTCACACGATGAGGTCACCAACCCCCTATGATGTCACACGACGAGGTCGGCAACCCCCTATGATGTCACACGACGAGGTCACCAACCCCCTATGATGTCACACGACGAGGTCACCAACCCCTCTGATGTTACACGATGATGTCACCAACCCCCTCTGAAGTTACACGATGAGGTCACCAACCCCCTATGATGTCACACGACGAGGTCGCCAACCCCCTCTGATGTCACACGACGAGGTCACCAACCCCCTATGATGTCACACGACGAGGTCGCCAACCCCCTCTGATGTCACACGACGAGGTCACCAACCCCCTATGATGTCACACGACGAGGTCGCCAACCCCCTCTGATGTCACACGACGAGGTCGCCAACCCCCTCTGATGTCACACGACGAGGTCGCCAACCCCCTCTGATGTCACACGACGAGGTCGCCAACCCCCTCTGATGTCACACGACGAGGTCGCCAACCCCCTCTGATGTCACACGACGAGGTCGCCAACCCCCTCTGATGTCACACGACGAGGTCGCCAACCCCCTCTGATGTCACACGACGAGGTCGCCAACCCCCTATGATGTCACACGACGAGGTCGCCAACCCCCTCTGATGTCTCATGATGAGGTCACCACTCTGCCTCCTATGATGTCATCATTTCCCTTGCTTTATGATGAGGTCATGATCGATGACGATAGGACGCTGGTCAGATTTCTCCTCCAGGATCTACAGATCAGACTTTAAAGGGCCTCTCCGCCCCGAATCACATATCTGTGTACTCGGAATGCCCCGATACTTCTCCTCCGGTACTCGCCAATACCAAATACTGATATCTTTCTTTTAGGGTCATGTGACAGTTTTTCTAAAACAATACAGACTGAGGATTTCAGGACAGTGGTGGAGCGCCGGAGCCCGGTCCCGGCTGCAACCCCGGGAGTTCTGTCACTGACTCCAAGCTGTAGAGGGACTACAAATCCCAGCAATACATTATACAGCAATGCAGAATAATATGAAGCTACATACTCTGGGGTGCTCGCCTGATGTCTCCATTATCTAGGCCAAATGGGGTCAGACGACGCTCCATCACAGTGCAAGGACATCTCCTACCATCCCACCAAGATTTAGGGCCCTTTTAGATATATGAATGTGTGTTGAAGTGCGTTATTATTTGTAGCATTAGGTAGTTGTGCTGTCATGCATCAACATGCGTTTCCTTTGTGTGGTGACATGCATTATTCATATGCATTGATGTGTTTTGAATTTAGGGTTTGGAGTGGATGGAGCCAACAGCCATTGACCACGGCTTCCAACCCATCAGAGTGAACGTTGTACTGACGCGCTGAATATGGATTTTGATGCTTTGCCATTGACTTCTATCGGCCTCCCGACGCACTAAAATGCAGAGAAAAAATGCACACTGCGTCATAGTGAGTGCTGAGATGAGAACAGGTCCTATTGTTATTATAGGGAACCTGGACACGTGCGTTCAGCATCATGTAATGTGTGCAATAAAACACCACAGTGTAAATGGGCTCCCAGGCCGCTCAGCCTTGCCCCGTATCTCACTGGAAATAGAGTCACGTGACCTTCTCTTGGTCGTTGGCGTTGTTGCAATGCAGTTCGGCTACAGACTCCAAGCTGTAGAGGGACTACAAATCCCAGCAATACATTATACAGCAATGCAGAATAATATGAAGCTACATACTCTGTGCTGTTTTGGGGAAGGCGGCCTGATGTCTCCAGTGGAGGATCTCATGGGGGCTGTGCGGGGTGTCAGGAGGGCTGTGCAGGGTCTCAGGAGGGCTGTGCGGGGGTCTCAGGAGGGCTGTGGGGGGTCTCAGGAGGGCTGTGGGGGGTCT